TGCTTATTGCTCATCTGCTCAGGGACATGTGGTGTGCCAGGAAGCGGGTGACGGCGCGTGTCTGGGTCCGAGCTTGACAGCTGTCTCCACCCTAATAAGGAGTCGTGTCTGTCGAAGTAGCCATTTAGAAATGATCCAGTACCGATTCGTCCATTACAGAGCTTATTGCTCCTCCCAAATTTGTCGGGGCGATCATTCTGTTAGCTCCTAGGGGGTCTATCCTTGTTTCGTGTGTACGTGTGTATTTAGGCTGCCCCGTTTAATTGAAAATTCTAGGGTTCTGCTAGGTAGCCCGAGAGTCGAACTTCCGGTATCCGTTGCGGGCCTCGAGGCATCCGGCCACCGAGTTGCATATCGCCCTCGTCTGGAATTATCATTGCTCCTCTCACATTATTAACTGACGTCTCCTATTGGGCTGACACGCGGGACGCGGACGGACCGTAACACAGCGTACAGATCGCCTCTCCACTCTATCTGCAGTTCAACGTCCAATCGATGCCATCAGCTGCAAGTCTGCCGTTTCATTCTCAACAGCCTCTTCATAGCCTTCTCAATATTGGTTTTGGCTTTAACGGAAAGTGAGGAGAACATTGGAGTACTTTAGTGAACCAGAGGACTAGCAGGTGGACGAATTTGAAACGACAGAAGAAAGTATGAATGCTGGGAAAACAGGAGGAGCCAGGCGCATATGCCGTTTCATCGCAGCACTATCAACTAGCATCGTCCGCTCCATCGCCTAGATCTAGTGGCAACATATGTCCGACACTTACCCCGCTTCCATCTTCATGCTGTTGCCCACACCTCCTGCTTGATACGGCGTCGTGACGCCAGTATGTTCGCGATTGCAGCTCAGGTGCGACCGACCCGAAGACTTATAATCGGCCCTCACCCCGGTCCTCCAGCATGCATGACAACCAAATTAAAGCCTTCATTTAAGACATCATGCCTACTGTTCTGGCCCTTATTGGGATATCTTACCTCGCATACACCATTTGTGCTGCCATCTGGAACATCTACTTACATCCGCTCCGTCGGATCCCCGGACCAAAGCTATGGCTGGCTTTTCCCATCTTGCGCTACATCTCAAACATGAGAGGAGTACTAGATAGGGACATGCGAGCACTCCACAAGAGGTACGGTGGGGTCGTCCGCTTCACCCCAAATGAGGTTTCCTTCATCACCACCCAGGCATGGAAAGACATTTATGGCCACGGACATCGGCAGTTGCCCAAGGTATCAGGGTCAGCGAGCAATCCTAAGGACATTATCAGTGCAAATGACTCCGATCATACTCGATTTCGCAAGGCGATATCCCATGCTTTCTCTGCTAAGGGCCTTCAAGCCCAAGAACCATTCATCATGGATTACGTCGACAAGCTTATCAATAAGCTGCACGGCATGGCTGAGTCACAAGTAGCCGTGGATATGGCGAAGTGGTACAACCTTACCACATTCGACCTGATTGGAGATCTCGCGTTTGGACAATCATTCGGTGGACTGGACTCAACAGAGTACCACTACTGGGTATCGACTATCTTTGAGTTCATTAAAGCCATAGCATTCGCTAAGTTCAAAGATGATTATCCGATGGTATTTAACGCCCTGAAGCGATTCCTACCAAAACACCTCCTGGAGGCGAAAAGAAGACAGGATGAATATAGCTGGAATACAGTACAGACACGGTTGCACGACCAGACAGACCGTGGCCAAGCGGATTTCATGCAGTCCATGCTTCGTCACCGCGGCGACAAAGACGGGCTGACTGATGAGGAACTTGCAGCCAATGCAAGCATCCTTGTCATTGCTGGCAGTGAGACCACAGCAACACTTCTGTCGGGGCTGACGTACTGGTTGCTACAACGCCCTAAGGAAATGGAAAAAGTCAAGTTCGAAGTGCGATCTGTCATGAAGACTGAGGAAGATATCACCGTCAACAATGCTACAGCTAAGCTTCCGTACATGTTGGCATGTATAGATGAGGCATTTCGCATGTACCCACCTGTTGCGGGTCATTTGCAGCGATACATACCAGACCAGCCTACTGAGATTTCGGGATATCTCCTCCCCAAAAAGGCAAGTCCCACTCAGAATAGTGAAATAACCAATGCTAATACCTTTCAGACCAGAGTATCTGTTCATCAGTCTGCTGCATACTGGTCGCCTCTTAATTTCTATAAACCCGAAGAATTTATTCCCGAACGTTGGTTGCCTGATACGAAGAATGATCCTTCGTCGCCGTTCTATCATGATAATCGGGAGATTCTGCAGCCATTCTCAGTTGGTCCCCGGAATTGTATAGGTCGAAACTTGGCTTATGCAGAAATGCGTGTGATTTTTGCCAGAGTACTATGGAACTTTGACATCGAATTGTGTGAGGAGAGTCGGGAATGGCATAATCAGAAGTCATACAACCTGTGGGCGAAACCTCCACTTATGTGCAAGCTCAAGGCTAGGGTTCATTGATGCTCTCACTTGGATGTGCCTGTGGTGTACAACAAGTCTTTCGCTCAGGACGATCAATTGCTTGATAGGGGTTTAGTATATAGCAGAATATTATTCGTTCTCAATTCGATGTTTCAGTACGCCTTAACTGCACCTAACGACTTGGAGTTAACCAGCAGGATTGGTGATTATGAGCCCGCCCGAGCTCTTTCCTGAAGCTCAACTGGACTCCTGCATGGAGTATCAACCCAAAATCTTCTCGTACGGTTCAAAGCCATGCCTTGAACTCTTTTTAGGTTGGTCTATGCAGATCCGGGGTGAGCTACCCCGAGTTCTCCTCACCCCCGCAAATGCGGGGTGACGGACATCCTCCGATACTTAAGCCCTGCTCTGTTTTCACTTCAATCTTTGCACCCGGCCTCTTTCCCACTGCATAGGGATCTGTCGCAATGTCTAAGCCAACAGAAGAGTATACTGAATATCACGAGGATACAGCGAAGATCCAAGAATCGACCCAAGATGCCATCTACCAAACATATGTTGCCAAGAGCCCCGAATGGCATCGGAAGATGACCAAGCAGCTCCTGCGAAAGGTGGACATTCATCTTCTTCCATTTCTGGTGGTGATGTATTTGCTCAACTTTCTCGACAGAAAGTACGTTCTGCCCAGCACTGGACAAGTCTACCGTAGACTGACACCTACCTCAGTAACCTTTCACAGGCCCGACTAGGCTCTCTCGAACAAGACCTCGGAATGAAAGGAACAGACTACAACCTAGCCACGAGTATCCTCTTCGTCGGGTATCTCCTCATGCAACTGCCGTCGAACCTCCTTCTTACGCGCGTGCGACCGTCATTATTCCTGGGGACATCAATGGCTATTTGGGGTGTCATCTCGGCCTGTCAGGCTGCAACACAATCATTCACGGGATTGGTCCTTGCACGTTTCTTCCTTGGCTTTGTGGAAGCGCCATTCTTTCCGGGTGCAATCATGCTGATGTAAGTTGTGCAACAATAAGCCTATTTGTGCAGTGCTAATGTGTACAGGTCGAGTTGGTATACTAGACAAGAGGTAGGCATTAAGCCAGTCTGACCTATGACATGTTGAACTGACCGATATAGCTGAGTCATCGCATTGCGTGGTTTTATGCCGGAAGCTCTTTAGCAAATGCGTTTGGTGGTCTGATTGGAGCTGGAGTGCTCGGCAACTTGGACGGTGCGCATGGGATAGCAGGGTGGCGATGGCTCTTTATCATCGAAGGGTGCATTACTGTTGGGATATCGCTGACTTCAACGTGAGCTTTCCAATGTCGATCTGATAGTCATGGTGATTTCTGACTGTATAGACTACTGTTGCCTAACTACCCCGCTACCACCTCATGGCTCGACGAAACAGAGAAGCTATACGCGCAATGGCGACTCATCCACGACGCTGGAGAGGCGGACGAAGCCACATCGAGCAACATCAAAGAAGCGCTTTATCTAGTGTTCTCAGATAAGCGAATCTATCTTTTCATCCTGCTCCAGCATACGTCGCTCTTATCGCAAAACTTCCAATACTTCTTCCCCACCATCGTCGAGACCCTCGGCTATGGAAATATCGAGACTTTGCTAATAACTGCACCTGTCTGGATCGCTACCTTCTTCGTATCGCTCTTCGTGACATGGACATCCGGAAAGACAAACGATCGCGGAATACATATTATCTTGTTGATGCTTGTTAGTGTTGTGGGATGCATCATATGCACTGCTACGACGAACATTGGTGCGAGATTTTTTGGCATGTTCCTGTAAGCATCCCTCCATTGCTTTTCTCTGCTTTCTGGCATTCAAGCTCAATGATAATGTAGAATGCCCATGGGCGCCGTATCTGCCTACCAAATTATCATTGCCTGGGTGGCCAACTCCTTCCCCCGCCCGCTGGTAAAACGCTCAGCTGCAATCGCAACGGCAAACATGATTGGCAACACAGCGTCCATTTATGGAAGTTATATGTGGCCGTCGTCATCAGGACCAAGATATATTGCCGGTGGTAGTGCTACGGCAGGGATAGCCCTCCTTGTTGCGATTATTGCTTTTGTCATTCGTGTTGTGCACCTAAGGGTGAATAAGGCGTTGGATGCGGCGGAACAGGACAGGGGAGGAGTTGAGGTTGATAATTTGGAAGCGCGCAATGCTGGGTTTAGATATATTCTTTAAAGCTGCTCTTGGGGAATATCATTAAGAGGTTTTAGAAATTTAGATGGGGTTGGAGGCGCTCAGATGACGATGGGGATGACCTCATCTGCAACACAGGACAGATTGAAATGCCGCATCACCATATACTTCTGCAACTCGTGTCGTAGGCTCCAACATTCTTCCCGATGCTAATGCGATAGCCCAGGAGTGAGATAAGCTTATTGACATGACGTGGACTAGTCTGTACTCTGTTTGCCAAAGATCTCATGATCTAGCTCCACTTATTCCAGTGATGTACTTAAATATCAGAGACTATCCAGATAGCTTATCACAAAACTTATTTACCCACCTCCCTCCTTTCTCCACATCGCTTACACAATCCTGAAAATGAAGTTCCTCCACATAATCCTCCCCCTAGTAGGCTATGTCCTAGCCCAAACCTCCACCACGACTACCACCCTCTCATCCTCAACCTCATCCACCTCCTCCACCACAATCCAAATCTTCAACATCCTCCCCACCTCACTAACCTCCCAAACGACCACCCCAACTCCCTCAACCACCCTCGCTACCTTCGATGCGAGCATCATCTCCGCCTCATCCTCCACCACCATCCTCGCCGTAACCTGCAACGGCGCGTGTCCCATCCCATCCATCTACACGATCACCGCGGCGCCCTCCACCTACGTCGAGCACGGCACCTTCATCGGCTCTGCAAACGGCCTTACAGTGACAACCTCCCAAAGCAACGCGTGCAATATCACCTCCTCGACGCAGGCCGCATCGTGCTCTGTCACTATCGGGTACTATGGGACTGTGAGTGGGGGGCAGAACTCCTCGTCTGTGGTTTCTTCGGGCACGTCCTATGGATCCGGTGAGATTTGGTATATGCCTGTTACTGTCACAGCGGGAGCGGAGAAGTTGGCTGCTGCAACGCAGACGGCTGGGGGTGGGGGTGGAGGGAGTGGGAGTGGGAGTTCGAGTGGTGGGGGGAGGGTTGAAGTGGGTGGATGGGGTTGGGGTTGGGCTTTAGGGGTTGGGATGATGGGTGTGTTGGTTTGAGTTATGGGTTGGGTTGACTGTCTGTTTGAAAGGTTGCAAAGGGTGTGAGTGAATGGGGAATTGGATGTTATCTTGTCTCTGTCGGGGCTCTTTGAAATATGTTATTGGTTTAACCTGTTGTGCTTTGAGATTCTCAAAGCTGGTAACATCCTTTCTAATCTAATAGGCTGGAGATAAAGTGTACTTGTCCGTTCTAATTGATTTGTGGAAACTCCCAATATTCACACTACATTCGTCCATTGTCGAGAGCCTTAGCTTGTCCTGGCATGCGTGATCAATTGGTGTTGAATTGCATACAGTAGCAAAACCGGTTATATCCCATGTATGAGGCATAGGGATAACTGAGAATACCGAGATATATGTTGGGTTCGTCGGTTCCACACATGAGATACTGTTTTAGGTGCTGGAAGTCAGTGGAAGCCGTCGTTATATTGAACTGTACGAATATATCAGCTTACAACAGCACCGATATTCGGTATTAGCCGGGTATACAAGTCAGTATCGCTTAACAGAGCGTTAGATGTGTACACAATCTCTGCCATATCTATTCACAATGAAATTATTACACTGCATCTCAATTTGCGCTTTCTGAAGCAACACCCGACCCATCGGAACCCCCCAGTCAAGAAGAACAATTTATATAAATTACCGCGATGTGCCCATCTCTATATAAATCCAACTGATCCTGATGCCTTCGCCTGCCTCACAAGAACCCCTAACCCTCTGATTTGACAATATCTCATACGGGTAAATAAGTTAACCACCAAGTGCTGTGGCACTGACACTTGCCGCAGCAATGGAGGAATCGCAGCCAGATGTCGCTGGCCCTCCCGGCGCACGCACCGCATGTAAGTTATCTCCACGTTCCATACCATAGCTAATTCCTTCAGGTGGAAGCTGTGCGATCCGTGGAAAGACTTGCAGGGTCAAAGAAGGAGAGACCGCCTGTACTAGATGCTCGCGTCATGGGCTCAATGAATGCGATGCGTATTTTGCAATGGTGCAACGCCTTAAGGATGAGAGAGAGTATGCCACAGCCACGTATACCTCACAATTCTCACTGACAAATGTAGATCCAAAGACAAACTTATCGATGAGGTCGCTGACCTGCGAGAAGAATTCAACACATTCTTGAGAAATACGCCTGGCGCAGTGTCCCTGTCTGATGCAGTTATCCGTCTCAGAAATCTTCGCATCGAATCAGGCCCCGGAGGTAGTACAGCGCCTGCGGAAAGTGATCTCATCTCAGAGGGTGTTGTCTCTCTAGAAGAGGCAGAAGGCCTGTTCAACATGTTTACTACATGTGTTAATCCGCTTCTATGGGATGGGCTTCTCATGCAACACGAGACTCTAGACTCTGCCCGCAGGTCATCGGCGATGCTCACGGCAGCCATCCTTTCTGTCGCTGCATTACTTGCTCCGGACCAAGCCGAAGTATACGAGAAATGCCACGAAGTCTTCGTCTCTCTCTCCCTCATGCGGAGGTTGATGGATCCTCACCATAATAGCTTGGACGATGTTCGCGCTTTGTGCATTGGTGCATTCTACTTCAAGTATATGGGAGAGCACCTTTCTAGCGAGGCCATTCACATTTCAAGCGAGCTCAGCCTAGATGAAGCCTTCTATCGGTACATGCGGGGCGAGGTAGCCGATATGGAACAGGTTCGGCTGTGGTGTCTCACCTATATATGCGGCCAATACTTCACCACTGGGCGTGGTTGTCCTCCAAAGGACGTCGGATTTAAAGCGATCTGGGATATGACGCGGATTCCCATTCCAGAGGTTGCCAGTGACGAAGACCGAAGGCTAATCGCCCTCGCTTTATACTTCGATACTCTGGCAAATGCTCATGCGACCTTTTATACAGATTGCAGATATCCACTGAAAAAAGACGATATGGTGACAATACGCGCGTTAGAAGACGCTGTTAGGCGATGCCTGCAGGAGTATCCGACTGGAACATTCCATACCGACCACCCTCACTCTTCTTTCCCGCAGGATTTGAAGAACGTGTTTCACGCCTTTGCTCAGTTTCAGCTCTATTCTCTGGCATTTCGTGGTATCTTTCCTTATGATAATAGTCCGACGAATTTCGAAGCGTGGACATTCGAGCATTGCGGTACTGCGCGTGCTGCAATTGACGCTGCTATAAGAGTACTGTCCGTCATAGGAACTGACAGTGATCTCTCATTGAATCTCCGCTATGTTCCCATTTATGTCCATCAGATGGTGGGATTTTGTGCTTCCTTTCTACTGAGAATTGTCGGATTAAATATGGGCCTCGCGGGCAGCGCTACAGGTGACATTTTTCAGCTCAAGCTGCCTATTGATTCTGGGCGCATTGTCCACATTGGAATGCGCGTAGCCCGGTGTCTGCTTACAAAAGGTGCCGATCTCAACGAGGGGCATACGTGTAATATCGTGGGCACGAGTCTGATGAACATGTTGCAGATGCTTTCTGACTTGCATTGGGCTAGCACTAGCGAGGTACCAGTACACGGATGGGGCCAACTGCTACAGTACCTGATGACAGACATCGATGCGTCTATTGCTAGTTATCCTGATGGGACATTCGGCATTGGCTTCAATCACCTGTTGCCATACTGGTTTGAAAGACAGGAAATAATCTAGATGCATCATCAACAACCAGCTCTTTCTTTCTAGCTCGAATTGAAGACCCTGCGGTTACAAGCGTGCCCTGGCTGGCTCGCCATCCAACGACGCAGATTGCTTTGGAATCAAATGATCCACATCTAATGTGTTCAACAGGCCCGGATGAGCCTGTGATAGATTCGTAATCCCCAACAATTTCATGGTCGTCTCTAATTCATCTCTCATAACTGCGACCGTCAGCATTCCCACCTTAACACCTTATCACTATCAGGTAAGGAAAACATACTCTCAATCAACCTCTCCACCCCGTCCTGTCCGTAACACAAGCTGTACAGGAAATGCCTTGCCATACCAACGGCCTTCGCACCCAGACAAATAGCCTTGATTATATCCGTTCCCCGTCGAATACCCCCATCGACAAATACCTCCAACCGATCAAACACCTGCGGACAGCTCCGCCGGATCTCCATCAACACAGCAATCGATGAAGTAGAGCTGCCAATCACAATCAGTACGACTCACCACACCTCCTCAACTGACAACAAAAGACAAAGAACTCACGTATCCAAGCTCCTACCCCCATGATTACTAACCACAATCCCGTTCACCCCATACTCCATTGCCAACACCGCATCCTCCGCCGTCTGCACCCCCTTCAACACAATAGGCAGAAAAGTATTCTCTTTCAACCACGCCAGATCCTCCCACGTGAAACCAGCATCAATATACTGTCCCATTGATCTTCCCAACCCGCCTCCCTTCTCATCATTGCCACCAATACACGCCCCACTCATGGGTAACGGCGTTCTAAATCGGATATCGTGAGGATCCAGCGGGACCCGCTCATCCGCTTCTCGCTTCCCAGCGACGGGCGCATCCACAGTCACGAAGATCGCTTTCGCTCCGTTCTGCTCTGCGGTGCGGAGAAGGCGCTTCGATGCCTCCCTGTCTTTGTTTACGTAGAGTTGGAAGAAGAATGGGGTGTTGTTATTCTTCGTTTGCTTGGCTGCGGCGGATGTTATTTCCGAGAGGTGGTAGGCTGCGTTTGTGGAGACCTTCATTCAATCACACTCTTTGTTAGATTTATACTCCTTAGACACCGTTGCTATCACAGTTGATAAGGGAGGGATAACATACACACATCCCAATCCCATACCTCGCACATCCTCTCGCCAAGGCAAGCTCGCCGTCCGGATGAACCAATGTCGCCATTGCCGCGGGACTCATGAATAGTGGTAAATCCATGCGACATCCCAGAATATTTGTCTTCATCGATACAGAGGTGACATTGCGGAGGATTCGCGGCCGGAGAAGGATGCGCTCGTACATAGCCCTGTTCGACTCATGTGTAATTGTATCTGTCGCAGCGGAGGAGTAGAAAGCCCATGTTTTTGGCGTAAGGGATTGAGAGGCTGCTTTTTCGAAGTCTTGCGCGGAGAGGATGGATGATAGGGGTGGGGGTTGTGCGGTTGTGGACATGATGGATTCGCTGCTAGTCATTCTTAGGTCGATTAATCAATTGTGGTATATTATCATGGAAGGAATGGGAGTGCGCCCGTCAACTATATAATATTTGATTCAGGAATTGAGTTTGTAGTATATCGGTGTAGTTCTAGACTTGTAAGATGTGAGTCGGCGTCGCTTAAACTTATTCCACCAATCATATTTGCCAATGGCGGAGATCATTACCGAGATATCTTATCGATCTCTCGGGCGAGAGGTTTACTGTAGGAAATACGTCATTCGGAAGAGAAAACCACGAGTACAGTCTTGTCGGGATATGGTTTCCGATGAGTCAGAAGAATCAAACATCTTAGGGTGTGGATTCCATGTTCCAGAGATAATTTCGTCTGTCAGGTAGTAAGTTTTTGGAATCTCAATGCCTGTGAGATAATAAGGGTGAATCTTAACATAAGAGTACTTTTATCTATATAGATCTACGTGGGAGTTGCAATGAAAAGTGGTCTTCGATCGACTTTACCATATTGCGCATTGGTTATTCAGTTTTGTATATTTCTTAAGCCGATACTGATGCTCTATGTGCTTACATACACGTGCATACACCAATTAGTCCTTTGAAACTTACTGGTGGATTCTCTGTATGCTATCCATGGTTCAGGAACAGACCCGAGTTTTCATCATCGCGCAACACGTCAAGCTACAGCTGAAATAAACCCTATGAAGAGATATCAAATATGAGCTAGCCACAACTCATCTAGACTGCTCACAGCCCTTTCCTGCTTCACGAGAAAGGCCAGCTGGATTCTTTGGGACTGGTGCTGTTTGGTCTGAGAGATCAGTTGACTCTGGATTGTGCTTGATAGATTGTCATATTTCGTTCCAATACAGTAAGTATATATGCCCATGAGCATTCTGCCACCCCATTTCTCATAATAACATAACAATAATTCTCGTACAAAAATCATCTATTGTTATAAACAAATAGTCATCCGAAGAATAATTTTCAAAATAAAACCAAGAAAAGACGCCCCCAAACCAAACCAAAAATAACCCAAGAGATTCTAAACCCATCATGCTCTGGTCAAGTATGTACACTCTTCTCTCATCTTCTCATATGCACAGTAATCCCATACTGCCATTCCTGTTTCCACTCTCTCTTAAGTTTCCATCCCTCAAACGATCTACTCCAACTTCGCCCCCTCCACAACCCTCGCATACCGATACGTAGTAGCAGAATAGAACAAATTCCCTGCCAAGCTCTGCACCACCGCCTGAGCAATGATATTCTGCGTTTCTGTAGTCGCCGCATCCATCCTCAGCCGCTGCTGCTCAACATGCAACTGACGTTCCACGTCGAGCAGAATGCGGCGCAGGATCCCCTTCGCCGTGTTATCCCCGACCATCATGTTATTTTGCAGCACACGGACGCTGTTAATCATGGTGCAGCCGCGGGTGTTTAGGTCATGGAGCTCCTTGGCATAGCTGTATAGGTCGTTGGTTAAGGAGGCGTGAATGAGGTATAGACGGCGGATGGTGGAGAGGCCGGCGATTTCGGTCGCGGTAGGGTGGACGTTTGTAGTGAAATGTATGGCGGCGTGGTCAAAACTGTATTCGAGACGTTGTTAGTGATGCATTTGACTAAGGAAGGGCCGGGGCGTTCCTACTCAGCGGCGAGATCATCCATGCGGTATTCTACATAGTCTTGGAGATTTGTGTAGTTTGCCATTCGGTCTTGGTCTTTCAGGATATGCGAGCGGGTATGTTGAGACCAGATCTTCAAGCCCTGGAGGAGCTCCAGTCCTGAGATAGGATCTTCGGTCAAGACTTCGTTTACGAATTTGCGCAGAATACGTTGTCTCCAGGGGAGACCTGGCTCACTATCTTCTTCCGGTGGGGGATTTTGCGGTAACCGGTCTGATTGTAGAAGTAGATCCAGAAAGGTTTCTCCCTGTACGGCATCAACAAGTTAGTAAGATAAAGCACCAGGTAAAAAGTCTTGCACGGAGAATTTCAAGTTCAGAAGGAAGCAACATGAAACATACAGCATCAGACCCGTCATGTGCCTCCACCACATCTGATCCACAAGTTAGCTCCTCCAAATTCTTCACTGCTTCACCTCGGATTACTCCAAACTGGTAAGGGTAGATAGGTAAACATACCATCATGCAGAAAAATCAACAAAATGGCCTTGGCCATGATCCTCGCACGCGCCACATTCGCTGCCGGAAACATATAAATTGTCCCTGTCACCGCCGTCTCAAGCACCTCATGCAACTTCTTCTGTGGAAGAGCATCTGGCGATGCTCCAAGCTGTGTACTTAGCAGACGACCACCACTCTTATCTTGACTTAGTGAGCGGCTCTGGGCCTCTTTCTGTATCTCGGAGACAATCTCGTCCAACAGTTCGCGGGCGGATTGCTCAACTTCCCGCCAGTGCTTGCATTGTACAGCTGCAGGGAAGGAGGTTGGCCATGGGACTCGGAGGTCTGTGGGCTGGATGTAGACGCATTCGTCGTGTGGGGGGTGTTGGAGGCATTCGCGGAGGTGAGGAAAGAAGTCGGATGAGGTGGGGATGTCGTGATCGGCGGGAACGGGGTTGAAGGCATAGTGGATAGACCGGATTAGGGGGCTTTTTGACTTTTCCCGATTGCCTTCTGTGCACGGGGGAGGTGTTCCTGTAATGGATTTGAGGATGCTGGGCAGGATCCATGGCTTGCCCATGGCTTCAAAGATCCCTTTTTGCCATTGGTGGTTAGTCTTTGGGTGACATTGGGCCTGTAGAAGGGAACCTAGGAATATTCGCACCTGATAGCATAATGAAATTGTTTCTGATGGAGGAAAAGGAAAAGCAAAACTTGGTATTGTCACTGCCTATCGAACTACTCATATCGCCTGATATTTATCCAACTTATATACTACGAAACATATTCGGCGGTTCCCAACATCGGGTACAGAATGCCCCGCGTCCGAGGGTATATTCAGTAAACCTGTTTATCGGGAAATTGACACCTGCATAGTCCATTTCGAGAAGGTAATACGAAGCAATGCCACGAGGTGTTCCTCAAATGCTTGTTTTCGTGTTCATTAATTAATGTTGGGGCCAAAACGTTCGGCACTAATGCTAGCGTGCATTGTATTGTACGGTATCATTATTCTCGGCTGTTGTCCGCACCTCGTGTCTTACCATACATCAATACGGCCATTACCCGTTTTCGGCAACAGTCTCTTGCTAAGCCTCTGCCCTAAACATTCAGTTACTGCATGTGCACCGCCCGTACCTTGACCCTGACACCCTGAGTGTCAGGTTTCGGCTGGGGAATCGTCCAATCGAGCATAATCTTCACATCATCGACTGTTGTCTCAAACAACTCCATATCAACCCTCGTCGCCAAAGCCGCCGCCATCAAGTACAACTCCGCATACGCAAGAGATGTTCCAAGGCAGTAACGTGTTCCCGCCCCAAAAGCCACGAGGCTGCGCTTCAGATCCATGCGGATCCCCGATCCGTCCTCTAAGAGCCATCGCTCAGGAAAAAAGGCCTGTGGGTCAGGGAAGCGCACAGGATTGTAGTGCTGGAAAACGGAGATTGAACTTAGAGGTGTGCGGGCAGGGATCGTCCAGTTACCATAGCTGAGACTTGTGGGGGCCAGCCTATGTGAACGACCCGAGACTCCACTCTGCAGGCGCAGCCCCTCTAGAATACAGGCATTCAGATAAGGCAGCTTTTCAAGCTCTGTCACAGACGGTAACGGGTGTTTGGGGTCCGGATAGATACTGGCTAATTCAGTTCGCAAACGCTGGAGCCTGGTAGGATTTGCCAGAAGATGATACCACAAGACCGCATTGACCTTGGCCGGGGTCTCGCTACCCGCGATAAGAAGAATTGCGCCCTCTTCAGATAGCCGCTGTAGGGTTTTTTCTTTCGGAGGCAGCTTGTCGCTGTCGCGAAGGGCTTCAATGACAGTGGTGGCCTTGCGGTCCGGGTCAGAGTAGATACCACGATAGGCGAGAACGTCTTCGGTTTGCTTGCGGATACGCTGTAGCGGAGTCAGCTGAAACTCCCAAATGGCCAACAGTAGTGGTAACACCTTACCTGTTTCCATCCCATCAAGATTGACAGGTCAGGGGTGATCCACTTGGAGATGATCGGGGGTAAGAGGTCAACCAGTCGCACTAGCAGCGGGAAGGCACGGACGATAGGAAGGGCCCGCATAATGTGAAAAACGGTATCACGCCATTGGGTAGCAAGAGCCTCGTCAGCCAAAAGTCCAAAAGGCTGACCAAAGCTATAGCTAGTGAGGACATCCATGGTGGTAGCAATCGACCCCAAAGTAAGATTGAATGGCTCCTGGGCGGCATGAGCGCGGGCGATGTTAGCGCAGAGCTGATCCACACAGGCCTTGATACTATCTTCAAGGCCCAGTGTGTTTCGCTTGCTAAAAAATGGGGCCAAGGCGTCACGTCTCATACGATGGTGAGCATGTTCCACGGTAAAACCGGTGGCGTTGTTGCAGTCCGGCGACTTGGTGAACTTTTCGTACTTGTCTCTCTTTTGAGGCAGCGAGGCGTAGATGACATTGTAGAAGTCTGGATCAATGCAGTGCAATTCGTACGGGCTCACACGAACAATCGGTCCGTATTTCTGATGCATCTTCTCAATCTCCCACATGTATGTGCCCTTCTTGACCACGTCATGGTAAAACTCCACCCACGAGGTCAACGCGACAATCTTCGGCCCGGGAAATGCGGCCAAGGGGCTCAGATACAGCCGCCAAATGGCTCCGTAGATTGTCCAGGCGAGGACCGAAAGTGCACCCCAGGTAAGGAAAGACAAGGAATCTGATGACATTGCGATAGATACTGTTGTGCTTGGTGTCCTGAGAGAACGGGCCGACAGCAGAAGACTCTTTTATCCTTCCGGACCCCAACAATAGATTGGGGGCCCAGAGGCGGAGTACACTCGTAACCGACAAAGCTTGGAAGTTAGAACTCCTCCATAAACCTCGTGGCAATGCAAAATAAAGAAGGATTCGGCCCCCACATTAGTGTCGATCCTGGCGGCTAGGGCTCCCAAGGCATCCCTGCTGTCCTTGCTTATGTCAATATACATGGGGCCAAAATGCAAGGCAGGATTTGCACTAATTTTGATTCAGTGTTACCTGTCAAATACCGAATATTATGTGCAGATGCATGACAATTACCATCAAGGGACCAGGCAGATCGGAGGCCGAAACGTAACAATACGAAAACGTTCCAAAACAGCTTTTATAATTATAAGAGCTAGCTCCTCCGTCTTACCCGAGGAGGAAGCTTCAATTCCATTCAGGCCGAGTATTCCCATCATTTCCATATAAGAAAGGAAAGAAAAACATGACGCTAAATCGAGCCGAGCATCCCATCCACGCGGAGCGGACTGTCCGCATTGCATGTATTGGGGCCGGAGTGGCTGGTCTCTGCCTTGCATACAAGCTACAACGATCCTTTCGTAATATCGAATTAGTTGTCTATGAGAAAAACAAAAGTGTCGGGGGAGTCTGGTACGAAAATCACTATCCTGGGTATGTAGTACTACATCCCTGTCCCATTGCATAATCTCATGCAACTGACCACCAAACCAGAGTTGCCTGCGACGTCCCAGCCCACAACTATGTCTATTCTTTCGAGCCCAATCCCAACTTCCCGGCTGAATATGCGCCGGGAAGCTCAGTGCTGCAGTACCTCAAGGACTTTGCCACAAAGTACAATTTGAATCAGTATGTGCGCACCCAGACTAAGGTCACATCGGCCGTGTGGGATGAAGCCAAGGGTAAATGGGGCATTGAGCTCGAAGACCTCGCCAACCAGCAAAGCCTGACCGACACGGTCGACATACTCATCAATGCCAGTGGTCCATTGAACCGATGGAAGTGGCCAAGTATCCCTGGCTTGAACGAGTTCAAGGGACGCCTGGTCCATAGCGCCAATTGGGACGACGGCTATGATGTTTCTGGGAAACGAATTGCCTTGATTGGAAACGGGTAAGCTACTAACCATCACCTTCCTCTGCTTGCTCTTCAGCTAAAAATACACTCCCCCAACAGCTCCAGCGGCCAGCAACTCCTCACAGCTCTCCAACCACAAGCCAGCCAACTCCTTCACTTTATCCGCCAACCCAACTGGATCGTGGGTCCCTTCGGCGGAGCGCAGCAAACATACACCCCAGACCAGATCACAGAGTGGACTAACGACCCATCCCATCTCCTCACAAAGCGCAAACAAATTGAGACAGTGATCAACAGCACATTTTCTACTTTCCTTCGTGACAGCCCACTCCATCAAGGCATGCGCCAGTACCTAACTCAAACAATGGAAGCAACCTTAAACCAGCACAACCTTCCCACCTCGGAACTCCTCCCCACCTTCGCCCCAGGCTGCCGTCGACCAACTCCCGGAGTCGGCTACCTCTCAGCCCTTAGCCAGCCCAACACCACCCTCATCGTCGGAGAAATCACCCGCATCTGCTCCGACGGCCTCATCGATAGCACAGGAACCCACCACGCCGTGGATGCCATCATTTGCGCCACCGGCTTCGACACCACCTGCATCCCGTCCTTCCCCTTGATCGGCAAATCCAACCAATCTCTTGCGAACCTCTGGGCCGACGACGTCCTAGACTCCTACTTCGCAACCACTGTCCCGCACATGCCCAACTACGCCATGTTCGCGGGCCCCTTTTTCCCTTCCATCAGCGGGAGTTACCTCCGCACCGCCGAGATTCAAGCCGAGTACATCTGCCAGTTAGTCGACCGCTACCAGACGGAGAATATTCATGCGTTCAGTCCGTCGCGCGCCGCTAGTCGGGCTTTCACGGCTCATTGTCGTAATTTTCTGTTGGAAAAGACCGTCTGGGCGGATGCGTGTCGCTCGCATTATAAGGCCGATGGCGATAGTGCCAGATTGTCGATGTGGCCGGGGAGTAGTTTGCATTTTGCGGATGCGTTACGTGAGTTAAGGGCTGAGGATTATGATTGGGAGTATGTTGGTGGAGATCGGTTTGCTTGGTTGGGGAACGGGCTCTCGGCTACCGGGGCTGATGAGACAAGTGACTTGGCGTGGTACTTGGGAGATGGGGATAGTGGACCGCTAGGGAGTAGGGGTGCCAGGCGGAGGGTTCTGACCAAGAGTGGGACTTTTGGGGTTGGGGAGCGGGAGAAGTTGCTGCAGGGGAGACCGGCTGACTGATCTATGTCACTTTAGTCGATGCTGTATATAAAGTTAACTATAACTAAGTTGTCATGCGAGAGGATATTGGTGTCATATGTGCGATAATGATATATATTTCACACTACCCGTGGATACTACCATTGACTACTAGGATTTCCTTTACCATCAAATCTACAATACAAAACATAATTCATAGACCAGTTTTTTTTGGCCATAGGCATTAATAAGTAAATCATATTCTGGTCAGTCCCTTTTCATAAATGAGGACTGTGTCACGGACAAGTGCACTCAACAGAGCAAGATCCTAACCAAAGTCACCTGGAATATTCCATTCGACCCATACAGAATAATCCAACCAATTTTTAGTAAACAAAAGTCAATTGAACCAACTCGAAGCTAATCATTATATACAATTTTCATTCAAAGTTTAGAAATCCGTCTGATCCACCAGCCCCTCAAACTCATTACAAATAGCCAACCTCTCCTCGCACGCCTTGCGCATCGCAGCAATAGCATCCTTGCCAATGGGCAACCGCAAAGGCAACTGCTTCCCCTCAAACTTTCCCGTTCCCTTAACGGCCTCGACCACCACCTTCGCCGCTTTCTCCGGATCACCCTGCTGGTTGTGGTTGGCAGCCGCACACCCAGCAACCACCAGACCCCGGAGCTCTTCATACTCCGGCAGCGGACGAGGCGCCCGGCTGTAAAAGTTTCCAGGGTTCATGACCTCTGTGCGGTAGTAACCATAGGTGAGTAGTGAGGTGCGAATGCCGAATGCCGCCAGCTCCAGAGCCAGGTTGGGCACCACCACCTCCAGGAGACCCTTGCCGCCTGTGTAGCATGATGCACCAGGCGCACCGTAGTAGACTCCGACGCTGCTAGTGAACAGCACGGTTCCGGATTTTTGGGCGCGCATGAGTGGCAGGAAGGCGCGGGATACGTTGAGGGGACCGAAGGCGTTGGTGCGGAGGGCGTCAATCAGGAAAGGCTCGCTGGGAATTCATTAGTGGGGATTCAAGACAGTATACGAGGAGTGGGGGGAGAGGGGCAAGCTAACGTGATTTCTTCGACAATACCAGCGTCAATGTATCCAGCGTTGTTCACTAGGACATCGACTTTGCCGTAGATCTCCCAGATCTCGCGCGCCTTGGCATCCAGTTCTTCTTGGGGCCGGCTCACGTCGAGCTCGACCACTGCGGCTCCGGCTTCTTTGAGAGCCGAGAGACGGTCGGCACCGCTGACATTGTTGCGGGCGCGAGCAGTGGCAATGACTTTGTCGCCCTGATTACTCGTCGATCAGTAATTAGTACAAGTGTGAGGAAGAAATTGGTGGGGTGGGTGCTCACCTGGGCGAGGATGGCGCGGACTAGGGCTTCGCCGATGCCGGAGGAGCAGCCGGTGACAACCCAGGTAAGAGGTTGGCTGGACATTGTTTAAGTTTGATATGTGTATGATATCTGGTATATAGAGAAGAGGGAAACGATGTAATTGAGGATAGAGAGAGCAGCAGGACCGGATTGAAGGAGGGGAGAAGAGCAAAGATAATAAGTGGGGGAGAAATGTCAGTGTCCGCTTCTTCCGTTGTTTGTGTTTTGGACCCCACGCAGCAAAGCCTCGCTATCTTGCACTAAGCATTGACTAGTAACGTTTAGTGTAACACTTGTATCGCCAGTCACCAGTGATCTGCAGGGGGCCATAAAATCTTGTCTCAATAATATTTAGTGCTTACTGTCTGTCAGCCTACAAGGCTACAAAGTTTCCTGAGATCCACTTTGCCTGGTAGTGTAACAGTAGATACTAGATGCAATACCTTCCTAGTTATTTATCGCCCCCGCCTGCTCCATCAATTCAAGTCTTACCCCTCAACCATTCCACAATCTCCCAGTTCTCTCCTGCCTAATCATAACTTGATCGAACACCGCCACTTGGCCCAAAACCACTATCCAAACTCTCAATTCCCTTGGTTTTCGAGATGTCCTGGACACAAGTCTCCCCGAACCGATACGAGCGTCCCTTCGACTCCATCGAGTCATTCTACCGCATTGTTGCCGCCGCCGGTGCTCCGCTCAACAAAGAACACTACCTAATCACTTGCACTCTCCAGCTGCACCCACCTCTACCTCCCACCAGTGCAATTGAGCAAGCCTGGAAAGCTCTCCGCCATGTCTACCCTCAATTGGCCGCTGAACCCGAGGCAGACGGCAACGGCAGCGAGCGCTTCGTGTATGAAGTCATCACCTCTAATACCCAACTCGACGCGTGGGCTCAAGAGACCTTCCACATCGACACCAATCGAACTTCAAATGACCTCTACGAGCAGCTAACACCGTCACCACGCGTCCATCTCTACTACCTCCCCAATACCTCCGAGGTAGTCTTCCGCACCCCCCATTGGCGCATCGACGGCATCGGTCTGCACCACATGCAGTCCGCCTTCCTGCAACTCCTCGCAGACGGCACCATTCATCCCATCGACGGGACTGAACCCTCCCGTCTCTGTCCCGCTGTGGACCAAGCCATCTCAGACTCCAATCTCCCCAACACAAGCACCCCCCTAGACGAACCCGCCGCCACAGCAGCCTCAAACCGCGAACTCCAGCCCTGCCTCACCCAGACTGACAATGGAAATCTCATGCTTCCCACTCT